AGGATGAGTGAGTGAGTGTAACGCTGAGAAGCAAGCTTCAGAGATTCCACAAATTAGTATCAAATTCTAAATTAATCTGAGTAAGTTCGTCTGTCCGGCTGTGTAATGACTGTTGCAAATATTCTCCTTGCCGTAAAAATGAAGCTATCGACTTCCAATTGAGCAGAAATATTGGAAGTTCTTGCACGCAGGTCATTGTTGAAAATGGGCCAAATCGGTTAAAGGAAACGCCTAAAGTACTACGTAAACTGGGATCATCTCTGTTTTTCAAAAGGAATAAAATATTGGCTTTGTGATCATTATTCATAAACTGCAGCAAATAAATCTACAAAAATTTCAGTGAACATGCCTATAAGCCAACCAACCTATAGATGTCCTTCCAAACGTTCCTGATTTTCTTATCTCTAAATCAAGCGAATGCACAAACACTATTCGCGTTTTTCTGTACTTAAAATACTTCTTGATCGAAAAAAAAAACCGATTGACTCCTAGATCACTAACGAGCGATTTAAGTATGTTTTGGCCTCGTATGGGCGGATATTAGACGAATTAAAAAATTCCACATTGTAACATATGGTTTAGTAAGACAAGGTCTTAATCCAAAAATCTGCCATTCTTACCTATCGCCAAAGTTTGACCGAAATTGCTGTGAATTGCAAAAAAGCACCGTCAAGCAGTCTCTGATATTTTCGATTAAATTAAAAATTGTGTGTATGTTCATTTACTTATATTCATTATGTAAGTATACCGAGTTGCCACAGTATAAATATTACTGATTTAAATTTAAGCATCTTTTTATGCTGTAGTAGCTGTCTTGCATTAGCCGACAATAAATAAATAAATATGACATTCTTATGGCACAGAGCTACGACTATTCAAAATTTCAAGAGATTATGTCGTATACGTTGGAGTGTGTGATGATTTATACTGTCGCGTGTAGCTTAAAGACAGTGTTTTGAAGTATGTAGTGGTCGCGATTGTATTCAACACGCTACACTCTCTTTATCTCACTATCTCTCTCTCTCTCTCTCTCTCTCTCTCTCTCTCTCTCTCTATCCATTAGAAAAAGGCGATGTGAAATTCATACGCCCAATACGTTTAATTTCAATGTATTCGGACAAAAACTATCGGATGTGTGCATTTACTACGTCCTATTGTATCGTTTGCATGAGTAGAATTAAGAGAAGTGATATACTTTATTGACTTGAACGTTGTACGTGAATAGTTGAAGAAACTATGCGAACTTCGACTGCGAAGCACTGGTTCGATATCAATTGTGCCTTATCAAGTAAGGTGTTTATATATATGATATATATATATATTGAAATCCGTATACGTACGTTTACGTAACACTATTGAATAAAAGTATTTGCTTACGAAAGGTATAAAGCAATAAAATGCAAATCTTATATATGAATAAGAAAGCGAATATGATTGCAAAGTAAATACGCACGCCAGCTCTACGGCTATATTTTATATGATTTTATATGTGTGTGGGAAGTTTATATAGCGCTGGGAAGAACAATAAAAAAATCTCGCTCAATATTAGATGAAACATACATCTAATGGAGTATGCATTGTTGTATGTTACACAATATCCATATATGTATGTATGTATGTATGAACGGATGCTAATAATGTTACGCGAACTGGATAACATTATAATGTGTTTTTTTTTTTTTTTTTTTTTTTTTTTTTTAAAACATATATGTGTATATATAAGTATATATATATATATATATTTATGTATGTATACATTTATGTACTGAATGAAATTCACACTATTCGTGCACACATATCGTAAATAAGAATACAGTTAGCAACTTGTTTATGAATTGTATGCACGCTTCGATGAAGAGAGACTTAAACACAGTGTGCTAACACTCTTGCCTTTTGCCTTTTATAAAGCAAGCATAAACTCACCTAAGTATATATATATATATATATATGTGTGTGTGTGTGTGCGTATTTATAAAAACGTATGTAGAAATAAATCTTCATTTAGAAGCTATCATTCAAATTGGCAAACCATTTTATGGTTTAACTGATACAACTATAACTTGGCGCGCCCACGCTGTCAGCCGCATTTAAATCCATTATGTAACGCATGCTTCATGTAGCTTATATGCGTGCATACGCGTTTGCATGCATGCGAGTATACTTGCAATGTTCTCCAATAGGGATAGAAATGAAATTATTATACGCTTCTGTTGCATGCAATGGTGATATTGTAACGCTATTGAAAATTCATGTACATGTATTAGTATAGATGAAAGCATTTCACAACACAAACACTCATATAAATATACATAAGCAACAATCAATATCCAATAATGTGGCTGACATTGGCAGTTCGTGGTTTTTGATTTATTCGAAATCGTTTCAAACTCAAAATTAATTGAAGATAAACCCATTTTTATTATATCACAAAGCATAAATGTTTCTATGGTAAGGCATTCTGGTTTTTTATTATTATTTTTTTTTTTTTGTTCAATAAAAATTGTGCGCTTTTCCTGCCTTCCACTGTATAAAGTAAGGTTTTAAAAAGTGACGATGCAGGAGCGTGAGAGGAGAATAGGAAAATCATGGGTTGTTCTTCTTCTTTTTTTTTTTTGATAATGGCTTAGTACCTATCGTAATAATTATTATAATGTTGTAACATCGATCCAAAGATCTATAAAGATATTGCAATGCTTTAAAGCGTACTATTCTTGTTGCGTATCTTTTGTTAATTTCACTTTTATTTGGAAGAAAATTCGAAATATTTGGACAAAGTTCGATTAAAGCATAACGCTTTGATTCTTAATCAAAGGATACATTTACGATAAAATTTAAGATTGTAGCGATTTTGTGTCATCCAATGAATATTTTCCCTTTTCTAGAGATTTTTTTAATCAAGTTTTGTAAATTTTATAAGAAGCAGCAAGTGACTCTTCCAATCGACACAAAGGTTCTTCAAACAAAACAAAAAAAAAAAAAAAAAAAAAGAAAAGAAAAACAAAGAGAAAGGGAAAGCAAAAATAAGAGCAAGTACCACAAAATGCATTACGCGTTGATAGTCTACATTTGTCAGAGAGATGATAAAAGTTATTTCAACAAATGCCAACAATGAACAGCTTCATGGCAACAACACTCGCAAAAGAAAAAAGAAAAAAGGAAAATAAAAAAATCTCTTTTGTCAAAGGCGAAATCAAAACATATAGCTACAAAGCATGCTTCAACATCACGTCAAATGCTTGAAACATGAATGAAAGAAATTAACGAAAAATTTCCGTGAGATGTCTTGAACGCAATATAGACAGACTGTGGCAATTACTTTGTCAACATTAATGAAATCACGATAAATCAGATTAAATGTTTTATTGTTAAGAAAGTTTCATCCGGTCTTACGATCAATTCTATTGATCGTGGACGTGTCAGCGATTCTTTGGTTTCCATTCCGCTTTTGTAACTGGCCGAAGGAGATAAAGATTCAAAACAAATTTCGAATAAATAGTTCTCATAACGTTTACGCCTACACACCTATTTTAAATCATTCCATTGAAGCTTAGCTAAACACATACGCATGCTGTTACAAAAGATCTTTCTCTCTCTCTCTCTCTCTATCCCTCTCTATCTCTCTATCCCTCTCTATCACTCTATCCCTCTCTATCACTCTGTCCCTCTCTATCTCTCTATCCCTCTCTATCTCTCTTTCTCATTTTTTGTGAGTTTAAAGCTTCTAACGATTTATCGACGAACAGCCAGCCAGAATTATATAAACCGACTTTAACTTTCAACGAATTTATGTTGCAGTTGACGCCTATTTGCTCAATGCTTCCAATCGAAAGGTTAAGTTAGTATATCTCCTGAGTAAACAGTTAAACGAAAGAGCGTATATTAACGCACGTTGAAATGTGAAGGCGCAGAACTAAAGGATTCGTTATACCCTGCATCACTTGCGATACAGAATATGTTTAACAGAACATATCTTATATATATATAGAGGTTAAGGGTTTCAGATAGATCCATCTTCTGTTTTACCAATTGAAATATGTCTGTCCGTCTGTCCGGCTGTTTATCTATGATTCGTGATGTTTATCTGTCCATTTTTGTGTACAGATCGCAACTTTTGAGATGTTTTCACGAGATTTGGTAACCTCATGCGTTTCGGTCCAAGGACAGAGCTTATTGAAAACAGATTAGACTGGACTAATTTTATAACCATTTCTCAAAAAAAATGTTCAAAATTTTCAAAAGTTTTTCACAACAATCAATGAGTGCATTAGTATTTGTTCGAAGTAAGGTGATATAAGAAATTGGGATGAAATGGGCTGATGTTTCGAACTTTGTTTTATTCATTCCCCAGAAACTTAAACGTAAGACTTTATCTGAGTTTTAAGATCTCATAGTGAAAATAGCTCCCATAGTTAATATTTTGATATAAAAAGCAACTTCGCTATATTAGGGCGACGGTAGGATATATTGTGTGTCTCCATCCATATAAGAGTACTCATGCAAAGTAAAGTCTTTGTACGGTAGCAAACTTTAAAGTTTACTTTATAACGAAAATAGATGGACAATAGTAAGGTCTTTGAAAAAAAAAAAAAAAAAAAGAGTTTCATAAAAGTTGATGTACGGCAGTGTGTTTCGGGGCATCTTGCCTGAAACAAGCTAGAACGGGAGAAGTGCTGGTATTGCGCGCCCATAACGTTTTTGCTTGTTTTTCTTCTACGAAAAACGCGAATTGTAACACTGATCACTTATTCTCTCTTTCTCCCTCTCACACTCATGCTCTTTTTTCCCTTTGAAGCTCAAACACTATATCACAAACAAGCGTATGAACTCGCTGCAATAAAAGTTTTGTAAAAAATATGTTTTCCAATATGTTAAAGGAAAATTACGACTTTGCTTTATTCTTGTTTACGAATTTAATGCATTTTGAATTCAAGGTCATGATATCGCACACAACATTTGCAATGGCTTACTTTTTTTGCAATTGCAATTTTACAGGTATTCGTTCAAGGTTCTGGCACGTTTAAAGTGCGCGGCAAGTTTGGATAAGCTTCGCGAGTAATGGCTGCAACAATATAATATAACATAATTATGTAAGAGCTTGGATTAAAGTTAAATTTTGAGTTGAGTTGTGCTTACCCTGTGTTTGGCGATAACCATTCTGATCGGCATTATAGAACGCTGTAATATATTGACCGTTAGGCATACGATATGAATAGTAGCCGACAACAACTAGTATTTTCTGATCATCTATTTGTAAAAAATAGCCGCGTTCGTAACGCGCTGAACCGTTATCCAATTCATAACGGTATTCATAGCTGCCATCTGGATAACGATAATCGAATTGATCTTTTATTTCACGGTTACTTAACTTATCAACACGTTTATATTTAATATCTTGTTGCTGACGCTGACGCTGACGTTGACGTTGACGTGTCACTAAGCCTTGTGGCTGACTAAATGTAAGATTTAAAGCACTACGCTTGTTATAAATTTTATAATACTGTAATTGGTAATGGGTTTCGTTTAAGGGAACATTCGCTGTACTAGCGAATAAAATGCTAGCCAGTATGCAACAAACCATTATTGGGAAAATATTTATTGTTTTCGACATGATTTAATAGCGGTTTACTTTGTTTTGTGGGTTGTTCGGTTAGTTAACCTTTGAAGCAGAAACTCACTGATGCATAACGTTTGATATTGAAATGGAAATTGTTTTCACAGACTACTTTCGCACGCACACCTTCACCCTCATAACTATAACTATAATCAAAATCACAATTAAGCAATTTTCAATGCACATCTGTTAACCTCAGCCAACTAATCGGCACTGGCGGAATATAGAGAGGACCTGTGTGTGTTTGGCTGATCTTTACGTAACTGATTAATTTCAGTTGTGATCATTGTGCGTCTTTTATAGTTTAAAAAGTAAAAATAATACGCCAAGCGTTAAACGAATTTAAAATCTTATATGTCAGTTCAGTTTTATATATATATATACAGACAGGCATTGCGGCAGCAGTGGCAACGTATGAATTTGTGTGCCCTGATGTCTGCGCTGTACGCTTGTGTGCAAAATTATATACATGCGAGCGAGACAGTGTCGAGATGAAACATTAATGGTATGAACATCTGGCTAAATATTAAAGCTTCTGCTTTCAACCAGAATTTAAATAAACGCTTACTCATACAGACGCAGTCACACATTCTGTTACAATCTCCTGCAAAGTTTGTTTTCATATTTTAGGTAATATTTGTAAAAAAAACCCTCTACAATTAATGTACGGTAAAGTGTTATTAAATTGTCTGCCGGTCTCATCTTATATGTATGTGCACGTATTTCTGTGATAGCTGTTAAAATAATGATGACTAACTATAACGTAGAGCGCGAGTAATATGACAATAAAAATTTATTTATTTTTTTTTTTCAAAAAGTTGTTGTGCTTTCATGAACGTTAACAATAAATATTTGAACGAAACATTTATTCAGGCTTTAACATTTATATCATATTAACGACCTGAACTCAGTCAACACACCGAGCGATATTTACGCGAACATGATATTTTAATACACTTGTTTATAATCTTTTATTTATTTTTATTTTTTTTTTTCATAAGCGAATTCAAATAGCCGTGTAATTGACGTGAATAATGTTGCTCTTCCCTACTCAGAATCTGTTTGGTTTCCAAACTAACCTATCATTGAGCATATCTCATGTTCATTCGTCATAATTTCAAAAGACTGTATCAGTCGTTAGATAGTTTAAATAGTTTTTCTTATTAATATGTTACGAGCTTAAGTTCTCAAATTTAATTTCCACGTTTTGATTCGGCAAGCGTTGTATGTTTATTTTCTCTTTTGAAATTTGCCGTAAACTGGTTTAAGGGGGTGAACACGCATGGTCGTATGCGAGCGTGTTTTTTTGTTTTTTTTAAGCGAGCTAGCGGTAGGGATTTTCATAGATACTACTCGCCCGTAGCCCTGTAGCATGCACAATCTCCCATCGAGGGCATCTACGTACTATACCTTATCCCTACACATACAATCTTCTTTTACCACTCCTTCGCGGGGGACCACACTTAGCTATTATTTCACGGGGGCTGGCTGTTATTACGTTATCTTTATTTGGTGGGTCCTTAGTGGATTTCCTTATTGGTTTCCGCTCCCCCTGCTCTGCATGCGATTACTTTTTAGGCATTATCATTTCTCGAAGCAACTTCGTTCAAAGCCGTCTAAACTGTCCCGGTTACCTTTATCATGTTGCCGAATACATTTTCCTGCACATTTCTGAGGAGCTGTCCTCGCCCGAATCTGATGCCGCAAGAGATTGAGTATTCCGCATCCTGCTCTAAATGGTTTTGCTTTCTTCGCTCCTCAGGGTCGCTCTTTACCCAATTTGATCTTACTTAAAACTTGTATTAGGGCCATAAGTGAGGATGGTTACTGGATGGTTACTTATGCAATGAATTTATATTCAACGTCTTGAACTACGGTTCACGGTATTTTCTATAAACTTTTTTTTTTTTTTTGTAATTTGAACCAATCACTCAAAGGGAGACGTGAAAAATGAGCAAGGGAAGTGATGGCCGCAATCTAGTTCATGTGTGCCTAATCGGTGAGTGTGTTATGTATTCATCGACTGAGCACTCACTGTAATTACGAATAAAGTAAACTTTACCTCAGCTGAGATTTGAAACTACGGACGCTGACTTGGTAGTCACGATTCTTACCTGTTAGGCTCTTATAACTATGTAGTGCCTAATCAATCCCTTCTAGGCATTATGCGGATAACAGTGATAGTTACACAACTTAATATCGGTATCAGATTCACTGAATGACGCGTAGAAAAACTTAGCAAAAGAAGCTTGCGTAGCTTTGAGAACGCATAGCATTATGTATATATATGGCCAGTAAATAAGTGTAGTTTCTATGGATACAATGTTTCCTTCCTTTTTATATACATCACCGAACGATGAATCAGGTAACGATGATTTGTCAAAACGTTCGAAACACCCAAACGGAAGCTTCAGACATCCCACAAAGTGTATATATTCTTCATCAGCATTAAATCCTGAATCGACTTAAGCATGCCTGCCTGTTCGCTTGGACGTCTAATTGTCTGCGTAATGTTTGTTGTAAATATGTTCCTGGCCGCAAAAGAGAAGCTATCGATTTTAAATTTGGGGAAAACATTAGAAATTTTTGCAAGAAAATTTCGGTTAAAAGTGGGCCAAATCGATCGAAGGACACGCTTACAGTAATGTGTAAGCTGAGGACCCCACTGGAGAGGTAAAAATGTATAAAAGATTGGCTTTTTGATAATTACTCATGAACTGAAATAAATATTTTGGTAGTCCATGAAAGATATGCTTTTACATGGATAGTTTACTTTCTTAAGAAAATAAACAACGAACCATATAAAGCGAAATGGTGTACGCTGATTATAATGTTTTTATTTGTTCAGTTTTCTTTTAATTGGTGGCGTAACTTCTTTGTAACATTTAAACTTATTTTCCAGTTTTACATTTTTTATTGCTTTCTATTGTTTCTCCTCACATAAATTTTCTTATAGGAACTTATGTTAATTGTTAAATATAAGACTTCCTCCACAATTTTCTGCTAATTATTGCATTCTGTATGGTTTCTTGCTTCGGTTATTTTGATTGACGTTTCATTCATCAAGAGGTCTCGCATTCTTGCTGTTATACCCATCAGAGAATATATGCATTTTATTGAAAACTTTGTAACGTCCAGAAAGAAATTTCAGAGACACTCGCAAAGTATATATATGTATTCTTGATCAGCAACAAATTCTGAATCGATTTAAGCGTGTTCGTCGGTCCGTCTGTCAAATATCTTCTCTCTGTCAAATTATTCTCCTGGCCGCGAAAATACAGCTATCGACTTCAAATTTAGCAGAAAGAATGTAAGTTTCTGTTCGCAGATTGGTATTGAGAATGGGTCAAATCCTCGTCCTGGTTTTCCACCTCCTGTTTTTCAAACGAATAAAAAATTCGCTGTTTTCTCACTGCCCATAAACCACACCAAATAAATCTACAAAAAATTTAACATATACTCTATTAGTGTTTGCACAAAAGTGGGGAAAAATTGACCACGCCTATCCAATATTAAAGCATATTAAAGTGTCATTTATTTTTCGAATACCTTTATAACGCGCAGGCGGCAACTTTACAAACCCCATAAAGTATGCAAATTCTTGGCCAGTTTGAATTCTGTTATCTGACCGTCTGTCCAACCGTGGCGTATCCGTGGTAAACATACTCCCCTTAGCGAAAATGAATCTCTCATGTGCAAATTTGTAAGAGAATTTGAAAATGATGCAAACTGATCAATTGACATGCCCACAACTAAAACTGTGAACAGCAGAGAGATGGAGTAATAAAAGTTGATGAAACTCAAATATATAACGTTGGGGCTGCAATCGTTGGAGCTTCTCCGATCATAATCTGTTTTGGCCGAAAGAGAAAAGAAATTTGCAAAAATTTTGTTTTGGGTTCCATCGCAGTCACAGAATTCCAATTTATCGCGTTACTGTAAATATTACCTCCAATCTGGTGCAGATGCCTGACTCGCTATAAGTAGTTTTTTCTTTCTCATGCAAGCGTTAAATTTATATTTTTTCTATCAACAATGCTCAATAATTACATAACGTAACACATGGTATGCCATACCTTATGCGAAATGCAAAGTACTCAAAAACATGCTTAAGGAAAATCACAACATATTCATAGAAAGCGTTTATTTATTTATTTTTTCTATTATATAAATTTAGTGTTTAACTGCTGCTCCTAATGCATATCAGAAAATATTATAGCATTAATATTCTCATTAAATTAATTTCAAAATAATTAGTACAAGTCATAACACTTTCAAAAATTTATTTACTTAATATTTTAGCTATTTATTTACTAAAAGAGAAAAAAACAAAAAAAAAAAGAAAATATTAACAAATATGTAAGCAAGTATCTAATCTCTTCAGTGCCATAAAAATCTAAGCTAACATGCTATCACGCTGAAGTAAAATATTAGAAAAAAGTCAGTCAGAGACTTCTTCACATTACCAATAGTAGGGTAGCTTGTCAGCGATTTTGTTTTTAGCAAAGATCTTCCTATCTACCATCCATTCGTTCGAATTCATATTAAAAACATAATTAAAAACTTGTCTCTGCTAAAAATGTCTTTGCTAAGTTACAATTTATCGTAAAGTAACAAAAATCAGTAGAGCAAACACCTGCAGGTATAGAACGAATGAAATCTTCAACTACGACTGAAAATTAAGTTACTCCTACTAACTTGCAGTGCTGTTAACTACTAGTGCCAGCTTGCGTTCCCACCTACAGTCGAGTAAAATCACTAAAAGAATGCAATATACAAGTCAGGTTATACTAATATAACAAAGACATTACGATTACTGTCGATGTGTCCTAAGCGACGCTGAAAGCTATCCGAAAAACAATTAATTTCCTTACTATGTTGAGCATATGTCATTGTCAAGACCCCGATATAAACTTTACTAACACATGGATTTTCAAATTATTCTGATAGTTTTCATTGTCCCCATA